GATGATGATGATGATGATGATGATGATGATGATGATGATGATGATGATGATGATGATGATGATGATGATGATGATGATGATGATGACGATTATGCTGATTATGGTTAGTTAGGTTGCAGGCAATTCCATCTCCAAAATAGTGATCTTTTACAGACTGTTACATGGTAATGGGAACGCGTAGACTCTTCATGAAGAATCCCCTCCAAAAATGGATTGTAAGCTCTTTAGGCTTGGGGGGGTGAATTTGAATCAAGAGTCTACTGCATTGGGTCGGCAGTGCGGGGAAAAAAAACGAGCAAGTCATGAGTCAGAAAAGTTGGAACGACATTGACATGAACAATCATGAACACCAGTCCAGTTGCCCCATCTTCTTCCAACGTTCACGCAACTTTTTCGGCCTGGTCCAGAGTCCAAGAAAAATAACAGGATGACAACTCATCCAAATCTTCCTCGAAAGAACTTCACTAAGATCTTTTTCTAAAGGCAAAACACTATGCCGAACTTGTGGAAGGCAAGTCATAGCGCTTTGAACATCAATTGGCAGTATGGCATATTACATATAAACACTTCCAAGTGGCCGCTCCGCTCTGCCATGTCATGCGCAAAACTGTTGCCTCATTTCCCTCTGCTGCACCTGTGTCTGCCTCGAGCAACAATCGAACAACTTCCAGGTGGCCATTCACGGCAAATTGCAAAGCACGGCGGAATCATCTCCCTAGGGATCCAGTCGTACCGAACCTCAGAAGGTACGACTGGACCCTCAAAACCTACATGTCTGAGTGTCTCCAATCACCATACCTGAGAAGGTACTTGGATCCCTAGGGTCTGGCATTGTTGACTTCCAAGTGGCCTTCCTAGGCTTGAGCAACAATGGCACAACTTCTAAGTGGCCGTCCTCGGCTGCAACGTCCAAAGCTGTTGTCCCGCTTGACCTTGCCGCATCTTTGTCAGCTCCAGACTCTGAACGCTTCAATTGAACGCTTCCTGGTGGTACCAATGGGCTGCAGTCTGCAAAAACGTTGGCCCATCGAGCGTCGTTGCAGTGGCCTCCCTGGGCAAGCAAGAAGCAAACCTCCCGCAAATCTGGTCGTTTAGGTTCAGTTGCCTTTGAAACAGTTTGTTTTCAAGGTGATCCACTCGATTCTCCCTGCAGCTATATAATAAGAACCGTTCGTCTTGCATGGTCTCACTGGGGGCGCACAAGGGCAGAATCATCGCCTCTACACTTGATAGTGCTCGAGGCAAGTCATCCTCCAATTCGTCCATCTCGTCCCTGAAGAGTCTTTGCCGAAACCTTGAACACCCAACCTTGAGCACTTTCCACTATGTCATGCAGCTCATCCTCATCAAGCTGAGTGGCACCGTGTTGCCAAACACAGCCGTAACCTGCATCTCTTTCGGTTTCATAAGCGGGAAGTATTATTGGCTGGAGCCATAGTGAAACACACGGCGAAAAAAACGGATGCCCACAAAGCAGAACCACAAGCAAGATGCGGATCATAGCCAAAGGGTCAGGCACTGTCAGGGTCGAAGATGGTCGAAGTCAAAAACAAAGGCCTTCCCTATCCTTGGTTCTCCTGCTGGATTCCTATAAACATGGATGTTGTTTCAGTGGTTTCAAAGAGTAATACCACATTACCACTACAGCTGGTAACCAGTGGTTCCGAAGACTAAAAACCTAGACCTTGAGAATCCCTGGTTCCTTGTATTTTTAAAGCCACTGGGAAATCAATGAAACATGTGAAATGTTACCCTCCAAGCACACGGCACATGGCATCTCAAGGTACATGGCTTAGTACATGGCATGATCGTCTTGTACAAGGGTTAGGTCTTCGATTCCCTCAGTCTTGCTGAAACACATTGAGTCACTAACTGGGTTGATCTGGATAGTTTTGATCTGTGATGACTTTGTTTCTTAAGAAATACTCTCAGGTTGAGGTCCGAGACGACCCTAACCAGGGCGTTCTTCTTGCCCGGCCTGCACTTCCTGCAGGTCGCGCATCCCGTATCCAGCTGAGCAGCCAAGGCATGGTCGCAATGGCGCAGTTGCAGCAAACACGGTCACGCAGGTGCAAAGGCATCTGGTAGAACAGTGACAATGCCTGTTGCCAAAGAAAGCCTGAAGGAGGAAGTGTGGGAGTGTGCTTCCTTTTGGATGGAAATCGGAGTTCGTTCTGGGAGGTCTTCAACTGCACTTGACATCCGGTGGACCTTTTCCAATCTATGGGATAGCAAATCCCAAAATAGCACATTTTTGTCCACTTCCGTACTGTTCGACCACATTCGCGATCACTCCACGCCTTCCTTCAGTGACCTCAAAATGAGCGCGTAGCTGAAACCATCTGGCGCCTGGGCCGCCCACCCGGTCGCCACCCCGAGAAACTTGGAGATGTGACCAGGGTGGCCCCCGCAGACTTAACAGGTGCAACTTAACAGAACTCGGACGATCAAAAACAGATACTGTGCTGTATTTAACATATATGAATATCACCGTTTGAACTAATACCACCTGAGAGGGATCCAAGAGGGGTACTGTCCAACCTGACACTCATGACACCTGTAACATTCGGGAACTAAGCCAGCTGCAGACTGGCAGCACCATTCAAGGAATGTGTGGCAGGTCCGCCTCTTAAAACCAAATCCCAGCAAGGCTTACACTGCTTCTTTGTTGCAACTTGCCAGCCACCAACCCGGAATCTGATCCATGGGTGGATATGGATCACATTGGATCACAGTCAGTGCTGACTCTGAAAAAAATATTTCATGGAGTTGCATTTAACATATGTAGTGCTGTAACAGCTTGAGATTTTCGCTGAGTCTTACAAGCTTCACTAGCGATAGGCATGTGGATGATGTTCTGTTTTCGCTGAACAGATTTGCGAAAACAAAAGGTTTTGGTGGCTCCAGCGAATTTGAAAATTCAATACAGTGATCACTAGCGGTAGTGAGACTTGTAAGAGGTTGAGAATTTGTCAAGCCCTGACAGCAGTGGATACCTTAAATGGCAAAGCATTAAAGCATAGACGGTATTTTTTCAAGGACCAATCCCAAGTCTGGCCAAGGCCCGAATACTAAAGTAGATGTAAAGCAAGGTCCCACCTCAATTCACTATCGCTATCACCCTGACTTGACTTGTTGGTTCACTATCGCTAGCGATAGTGAATGTTGTAAGGGACAATTCGCTATCTTCCTGACGGTTTGGTTCGCTATCGCTAGCGGTAGTGAATGTTGTAAAGGACATCTCGCTATCACCCTCACTGTTTAGGTCGCTAAGGGGCAGGGACAGGAACATTGATAACTAGTATTTTTACACCGACACATTTTCACATATCTAAACTACACCTCAGGATATTGACCAGACAAAAAAATACTATATATGTATTACAATATATAACATATGTTTTAAGCATGTATAGTATAACATAGTATAATACAAAAAACGTAGATACTTGAAAACACTGATTTGTGTAATATACATATCCCTAAGGCTCCAGCGTATGCAAATAAGGCCAGCAGCCATAAATGTATCCAAAAATCATTGACACAGCCTGCCAGCTGACATTCGATTTTACCAGTTTTTCTACTTCTTTGCAGGCCTCCCAAAGCGCCTTTTCTCAGCTAGCCGACTGAGCAGACTGCCTTGCTAACGAAGGATGTTTTATCCTCTAGAGGTACAGCATGCACAATCGAACCTCAAAAGCACTTCCTGCAGGGTCAGCGGAGACAACACGCCCCCCCCAAACACCCCCCACATACCCCCAAAGCACTTGAAAACAAGAACCACAGGGTGCCAGGCGCGCTGTGCACAGACCGTGCCAGGGCTTTGACATCGCCCATGAAGGGTTCATCACCATAATGGTTCTCACCTCAATGAAGCGCACGGCACGTGCACAATCTTGCGCACTGAGTCCAACCCTCACATACAGTGCACATATAAAGGCACACAAACAAGCAAGCCCACAATCTTGCGCACTGAGTCCAACCCTCACATACAGTGCACATATAAAGGCACACAAACAACCAAGCCCAAGTAGCGGCAATTGTCTTTGGCCTGCAGTTGCTCCCAAAGTAATTCCATAAAAGCCTGAAGTTTACATCCTGGCATAATGTGGTGTTTCTCTGTCCGTTTTTGTACAGACATTCAGCAACTGCCAGCCAGGAAGCATGTACTTTGGGCCTGGCTGGGTACCATGCAATGCCACCATGTAAGTAGTTCCACCCCAGGGCGGCATAGTTCTTGCAGAATCTCAAACACCAACATCAATGTCAGCCCCATCTAGGTTGAAAAACAAGACAATGGCAAACAAGTACTTCGCTTCAGCTCGAGGGTCTCAAGCCCCTGAGTCTGACGGCTTGTTCTTGGGATAGCTTCAACGGGCACATTTCCAAGTCCAGGCTCCAATTTGCCAGCTGTGCGCACATCACAAGGCATAAAGTGAAGTTGTTGGTTCTCTGAGGCCTCTAGAATCGTTAGAATTGCACCGTATGCCTGTCTGAGGCAAATCGCTAGGAAGCACGCGAAGACACGGCTGGTCCTTGCTTTCAGCCACAGTTCACCTCGAACCTCACACTAGGGAAGCAACAAAGTTGCCAGGAGCACTTTGAACGTAGCGTGTGGTGGGTAGGGGCCAAACGTTGCAAAAGTAGCCAAGCCCAAGTTCTCCTCGATCCTTTCGACACGGGAAGGGTTCGAAGAGAATTTTGTTTCAAAGAGCGGGTGCTGTGGGTTAGCACGAATCTTCTCCAAGAACCCTTCCTGTTTCACATGCTCATCCAGCAGCTCCTTGTAGCCAAAAACTTCGTTGTAGTATAGGGACAATGGTGTTGCCAAACACATTAGCATGAACTCTTCGTTTTTGACTCTACATTTGTGGCAGTAGTGCGACCAAGACATACTCAGCCCAGGAAGATAAATGACATCACAGCTCTCCTTAAGCAAAATGTAGCCTTCTTGGATACGATCATCCACCTCGTTCAGTTCTTCAACCAGTGCCCACACCACACGTAGAGACACAAAACACGACTTAATTGATGGATGGCTGAGTGCCCCACCTTGATGCCAGAAGCTTTCCGACCACGGAAAACACAAGTGACAAGTGCCAAAAAGTTGCTGCAGCCAGGTGGTGCAGACTGAAGCGATTGGAAGGTACTCACAAACAACGAAGCTCTTATGACCGGGTGAAAGGCTGGCACCTTCATCCTTCCAGTTCTTCTCACCACCATAGCATGCTTCAACAGCAGGACGTCTCATAAGATCTCATCACCGGTGGTGTGGTCATTGATGCCATTCAAAGGCCTCAATGCGAGAAGAATTAACACTGGAAGCATTATATAAAGGGATGCATCAGGAGCTAAGATCAAAGCAAATGGGAACAAGAGTGTGCATCAGGAGATTAAACGACCATCAGGTGATCAAAATGGCTCCAGGATACAACTGTTCCGACAATGATGCTCCCTGGGGCTATCATTTCAATGTATGTGATATGTTGGCTCATTTCCATGTAGGCAAATATTCCCTACAGAGATCCTTAGGGTATGTAATGTATACACATATATTATATATGCATATGTGTGTGTATTTTTAGAACATCAATATACTATAATGTACGGTTATATAAAACTTACTGTTACAAAAATAAAGGGACACAGGCAGGATAACTGGCAGATTCAACCTACTACCTTTTGAGAATTGGCCGTTCCTAAAGAAACTGCATTTTGTTCGGTCCTCTTTAGGGACATCTACAATCATCTACACACGACTTAGGAGTAGGGAGCATTGAATAACATGAAATCACAACAGCGCATAAACCAAGGCTCCCAAAAGCACAGAGCCAATCACTTGCAGGAGCTTTGGCATCACAACTCAACCGGGCCCAAAAAGCATTAACACCGGGCGGAAGAAGTGGGACAGGGCGACACAATTGCTAGGGCTCCGTTTTCGTACCTCCTCAGGTTCAGGATGATTGGACCTCAAACCGTCCTGGATTTGGAATCTGGTAGAGAGACGGAAAAGACGGAAGTCGAATCCGA